GTACATTGCAGCGAGCGAAGTGTCAAAGGAGGCAATATGGTTAAAGAACTTCATGGGAGATCTTGGAGTTGTACTTGCCATAAAGGAGCCTATGGAAATTTTCTGTGATAATGAAGGAGCGGCTGCCTTGACCAAGGAACCGAGGGATCATGGTAGATCTCGACATATCGACATAAAATATCCCTTTATTCGACATCGGGTAGAAGAAGGACACCTCATAGTAAAGAGGGTATCGTCAGAGGATAACCCAGCAGATCCGTTTACGAAGGGACTGAGTAGGGTTAAGCACTTGCAGCACGCTAGGAGCATTGGGCTGAAGGACGATATTAGTTTAGATTAGATAGTTTGGAAACATGTAATAGATAAATGTAACTGGAATTTGATGATTAAATAAAGGAGTATTATTTATAAGTAAAGCTACTGTCTTATGTTAATTGTTTAACTATTGTTTCACTTTGCATGTTTTGACTTCCTGAATAATTGAGTTATTAAGAATAATCGAATTATTTGAATGGTCCACAATCGTTCATATGTTGGAAGTAGATATGAATGAAGACTGTCATGAATAGGTGTGTAGATTGTCTAAAAGGGACTAGACATAGCAAACGTTTTCTACAACGTTCATGAGTGCTTATGAACAAGTTTTGAGCATTGGAATAAACTAGCGCTTGCTGGAATCACTTCATGGAATTTATCACGAGTGATCGCAAGACGATAATATCATATAGTCTTAAAACCTAGATATATGGTTTATTGTTTGTTGATTGGTTGTGCATTGATAATGCGAAAACGCATCAGTAACTTGATGTTATAAAACGCATTGTTGTGTATGATTTAATTAGTGAATAGTAAATGCACATAAGTCGAAGTTTATCTGTTCCTTTTATCATAAGAGGGTAAAAGCGATATCAGGGCCCTTCGATGATTTGATTTGACTTATGTGTCGGGCCCGGTCAGGACTGAATTGATGTGTTCAATTAAGTTCTATGTCAAATGAATCTAAGATTGAGAAAAACAAACTGCTGAACAATAAGTATGACTATGTTCCATGTAATTGTCCGCACGATATCTAGAACAGAGGACTGTACGATCCCTTATCTAAAGGACAGGTTACTGATAAGATCATATTTCGATAGCGTCTTTAAGAGCTACGGTTGTTAATCGAAATATACTTACTTTATAGTTACTAGACTTATCCAAGTGGGAGACTGTTGGATTAGTGTCTAAGCCCGTAACTATATTTGGTCAGCCATTGACCCGGTTGTGCATGGTCCTTTTGGGTTGCCTTCTCCAAAGCAACTTGACAAGGTAATTTAAAGAGAGAGAGAATATTATGGTTTATTAATATATTATAAGATTAATATATTAAAGGAGAAATCATATTTATTTAATTAATATTGGTCATAAATTAATTTGGAATTAATTTGGTGACTAAAAGAGATTAATTAAATAAAGGGGTATAAACAATCAAATGTGTGATAGTTGAGTTTTGGGTTAAGGAAACCTAATGGACTAAGGGGGGAACGAAATTATGATGCGGATCCATCATATTTTCGTCCAAGGCCTTATTCCAGAAGGTTCCTTGAGCTGCTTGGTGGCTAAGCTGTCCATTAGGGTTTAGACTGAAACCCTAGTAGCCTGCAAGTATAAATAAGACCCCTGGCTATGGAAATCGGCCACACCTTGTTCTAAGAGAACCCTAGGGCCGATTTCTAGCATCTCTCACCCTCTCTCATATTGCCTTCTTGCTTGTGGGGTTTGTGAACCATTAGAGGAGTTACAATTGTGACCCTAAGCTCAAGATCAAGAAGATTACAAGGATTCAAGCTACTTGAAAGAGGTAAATCACTTAAATCTGTTTTCCTTATGATAATTTCAAATTATATATGATAGATCTAGATTTGTAAGTCTTGGATTCAAAGCATGTGCAATAGAGAAACCTAGATCCAAACATTAAGGTTTGTATGAGCACATAGGATTGTTCTTATGCATAAAACTCATCAACAAACAACCCTTGTCCTCTAAGGATAGGTTTAACCGAAGGTATACAAGGGTAGGCCCTTGGTATGTCTCTCACTTTTGCTCAAAATGTACATGACTTATTCTAGTAATATCTAATATGCCTAAAATGTTGTACATGAAATATTATATCATACATTATAAAATAATAACTAAGTTATAACCTCTAGATATATTGTTTTCAGAAAATAATAATTTTCCCTAATTAAACACAAGAATTGATTATTTATTAATAATCATATTAATAATAAACATTCAATATGTGTCAACTTAATAAGGGTGTGACTATATAGGATCATATGTCATTAGTAAATGTCATTCAATAATGTTTCTTAAGCATATAGATCCAACAATTATTTCCAAGATGTGAAGACTAATGTTACTTCCTTGTTTTCATCCCTTTAGGGCTTCCATGATCTCAAATCACTTCTCCCAACCCACCCTTTGAACAGGTCCTTAAGTTGGTTCGTTATGTCGTAGCACTAAGATGTTCTAATCTCTCTTGGAAATTAGGAATCATTGTGCTTGACATGAGGCAAACCACCTCATTTTAGTCGCTAAGATGTATTTCATACATGTCTCTAGCAGCCCTAGTAGATCTAGTTGGGTGATCCTCATAAACAAGTTCCTGAATAACATAAAGTTTCTTTGTGAACCTGAGCATATTTCTCCGGTTTTAAAAACATAATTCATGCCATTGAGTTTATTCTATTTGAGGAGATTTTGCAGTGAAAAGTTTGTAACAAAATAATATGTGTTTGAAGACACTAACTAAAACAAGAATATTTACTAGTGATTTGATAATTATCCTTTATAAAATTAACAACTGAAAAAATATTTATCAAAGGCTAAGATCTATCACTTCTAGTTGTGAATGTATGTCTTAATTAGAAAGAGAAGTTATTTAGGTAGATACAATTCTTTACTTATTCTAATCTCTATGGAACTCTAAGATCAGTGCATGATTTATTGGTTTTTACTAAGTGAACATTTGACGTGTTTAATCCCTCATTCACTTATCTCTTTTTTGTGAAGAGTATGCCAAAGAACACAAAGAAAGATAGTAAATCGTTCATTTAAACATATACGAAACACGATGTATGGCTCAAGACTCACTGGTAGTGAGTAAATCATTGCTAACATATGTGATGTTCAGCTTAAGACTCACTGTTAACACGATGTATGGCTCAAGACTCAATAGTAGTGAGTAAATCATTGCTAACATATGTGATGTTCAGCTTAAGACTCACTGTTAACACGATGTATGGCTCAAGACTCACTAGTAGTGAGTAAATCATTGCTAACATATGTGATGTTCAGCTTAAGACTCACTGTTAGCTAGTAAATCATTTATGTTTGTGATGACGATCATTAAGTATTGAGTTGGATTGCTCACCAACTATTTGTAGTTTGTAAAATTACAGTTGCTTATAAGTCTCATGCAAATGGGAAAAGTAAACGGGTGGCTTAGCTTGTAGATGATACGAAGAGACTTAGAAGAGTGAATTGTAATGTTAACACAAGGCTTGTTGCCATTGTAAAGTTTGTTGTTCAATTTGTTAATATGGAGTTAAACCATATGTACGGATGAAGGGTTAACAAGAAAAAAAAGTTGGTATACTTTGTTTTATTATTTGGAGTGTTAAGAAAATATAAAATGCTTTATCATCATAATCTTCACTTCTAACAAGCAACCATCAAATACAATTTTATGATGACAAAAACCATCCTTTTGCATCCAAGAAACAGATCTAGAGCCATTTTGATTGTGGTGGGTTTTCAAGTCAAAATAGTGCATAATATATCTTGTACAGATTCTAATTTATATGTCATCATCATCCTCTATCAATAAGTAGTGTAATGTTACATGTAATAATATCTCAAAATTATCAAATTTATAGATTATTGTCACAATGTACCATCCAATTTATAGAGCATGGTATATGATCAAATTCATTCGACTGAAATCATTAATCAAGTCAATAACAGAATGCATAACATATAAATAAAGTATGCATGAAACTTCTAAAATGAGTATATTTGAAACTTAAGAAATAACATCGTCTATTACAAGTAATGGATTCAGCAAACCCTTTGATTATTGGATTCTCTAGCATCATCAATCTTCACACGTCCAAAATGTTGAGGAAAAGCAACAAAAAGATGACCTGCCAAATTTTAAAATAATAAAAACAAAAAAGAAAGAATATTGTTAAACAAGATGCCAAATGTTCAACTTCTTTCTTTAGTTGTAGTTAGTAGTTACCGATTGTGTTAGATGCGATAAATAGCAATCTACTTTTATTTACGTGTATTATAGCATTCTACTTTCGTTTTTTCTATCACAACTTTGAAATGTTCTTATTTATGTCATTAACTTTGAAAAATCTACCCTAATATAACAATGAAAATTGCTTTAGATTTAAGATTATACTGCTATATATAATCTGTAGATTTTTCAAAGTACAATTCTATAACAAGTTCCACACTACACAGAAACCCATTGGAAGATTGCAAAAAGGAAAAAAAAACAAATAAATAAATGCAGGCCCCTATTCTTTGTGAGTTGTAAGAAAAAAAAAAAAAAAAAAAAAAAAAAACAAAAACGTTTTTGTACATACAAATTCCTTTATACTTGCAAAAAAAGGTTGTTATCATGAGTAAAAGTGTGGAACCTAACCTCGCTAATACTAAAAACAAAATCTAAAAATCTGCAAATCAGAGAAAAAAAACTAATATGTAAATTTAAAACTCAAATATAACAAATGGAGCAATATGAGAAGAAAAAATCTATATAGAGCTTGTAACAAAAACTAAAAAGGAACAATATCTTACCTGATAATCTGATTAAAGGAGATGAAGATTTTATGTGGGGCCATTTTACCACCATCTGAAATGGGCATAGCTTCGATTGGTGGAAGCAAGTCCATGAAGAACCTCCCTTTTCTTACGTGCAGTTCCCCTCTTCCTGTAAGCATCCATTATCTCAGCAGACAAACATTCCTCCAATCTTGAGCTATGATTAGTTCGTCGTTTTTTAGCTGCATCAAGGATCCAACGAACAGCTAAAGTTTGTTGCCTATCCCTGGCTACAACCCCAGGGACATCATAAATATTACCAGCTATTCTTACTTTTGCTACTTCACAAATGGGTTTCACATTCTCTAGGGCTTCAGATATAAGTTTGACTGCATCACGATCAGTACGAGCTAGCTTGTGAAGGGTTTCATGGAAGATAGCACGAACTCTTGTCTTTTTGCCTTCTTTCATGCGAAAATTCACCAACTTATGGATCAACTGTTTTTCATCACCATCCAATCCCCCCATGTAGTTGAGAATTTCCGAGCCAGTGTAAGCCGTTTTAGACTGACTAGTGGTTGAAAACTGTTGCAGAAACAGCGGTGTGATAGGCGAACTTGAACCATGGAGTTCTCTGATAATACCACTCCACTGCCTAACAGCAGCAACTCGAATCATCTTTTCTAAACTACTCCGACTGTACGTAATCACAAGACCTGGAAAACCTGCAATCAGTAGCAAAGCTTGGAAGTTAATTTTATTGGGTTGTCATTTAATAAAACGCTAAAGATTACTAATTCCATACTTGAAAGTTGAAACATTGCTATGCTAGTTATTCATAAAACATAGACGGACAACAAGTTTTAACGTCCAAGAGTATATACACAAATGCATACGCAAATACGCACAGATATGTAGACACACCAACGCATGTTTACAAACACATTCATCCATTTTCCCCAATCGAAAGCAAAATCTATAGCATATATAGAAACTATCGATGAAATACAAACCTTCTGGGGCTTAAATCGAGACTGATTAGACTTCCTAGCTTTAGGGAAATTGCAACCCTAAGAATGAGAGGACATCGGCGGAGGTGAAGAGGGGTTAGACATACGAAAAATGAATCTTCACTTCACCGAGAACTTTCTCGGAATAATTTTCGACATTAGTTACGAAAATGGTCCCTGTAGTTAGAAAAGGAGTGCATTATCTTTTTTATAAAAGACAAATCTTCGCAAATGGTCGATGCGGTTCTCATCATGTTTTTATCTCTGGGGGCTTTATTGATGAGTGATGGCCCTCTTATTGGGTTCACTACCACTCCGTTTAATGATACAAATGGATGGAAATGAGAAGAAAATAAAAGAAATTGGTGTTCTCGAGTTTGGAGGATTTGGAAGGAAAAAAGAAAATGATTAATTTTTCTTCCACTTCTCTTCAACTCGGGAACACAAAAGAAAATTCTGTTTTCCTTTTATTTCCTTCTTTTCTCTCATGATTTTCTTTTCTCTTCTCTTCTTTTCTTTTGATAAACTCAGAAACGGGGTGTACGGGATCACCTCTAATCCGGTCTGAATCAGAACGTTTGATAGCATCAGTTGAATCTCTTACTCGGTCCATACATCACTTACTGAGTCATCCTAAAAATAATGTTGACTGGTAAAAGAAGCTCATTCGCCCGTGTTTACCCTTCTCCTTCTTTCTCCTTGAAGAAGACTTTACTCTCTCTTTCAATACCCTTCAGTAATATGGTGATTGGTATTGTTCCTCTCTCTACAACCCTAATTGTTACCTAAGGTAAAAAAAAAAACTTTTATAGTTTTTTAATTTTCTTTTTTATACAACAGTTAAAAAACAAAAAATAAAATACAACCACTACCACCATAGCCATAACCCCATCCCACCCTACCCCTTGTCCACCATCACCGTCCTACCATCACCACTACACAAAAATACCACCTTATAACTCCACTCTAGCACCACCACATCTTATAATGTCAAATGCTCACCGCCCTGAAACAAAATCGACTTACCAATGAAGTGACGATGTTGGGTTTAGGTCGCATGCACCACCAAGACGTCATTGGCTGAGCAGACGGATTTTTAGTATGGCTTATCAAACACACCCTCCCTCTCATTCGTATCTCTCTGAAAAATACAATCATAAAAAAACATTGATTCTCTCTCGCCCCACCCACCCGATTGACCCTCAACATCACCCAATATATCTTGCCATCACCCACTATACCTTGCCCGTTACCTAAATCAGACCAAGTAACATCTCCGACGAACACCAACAACACTATATCCCCTTCCATGTTCGTCCATATTTTCTTCAATCACTCTAAACAACCCTACCATGTTTACAGGAACACGATGCATAAACCCATTATATCACTTATAAAAACATTAAACCCTAGAATTAGATAAGCAAAAGCAAACAAAAACCCAATTTATGAATCCCCAAGAAATTATATCACTGTAACATCACAAATGTTTTGGTTAAGAATTAGCAAACTAATTTTGTAACTACATTAGTAAGTGTGGGGTGATGTTTGAAATAAGGTGAGTATAAGGTGCTTAAGATCTTGAAATGTTACAAAGATCCTAGTTGTGCCCTAGACCCTGGGTAAAAAATAATTAAGTTCAGAGAACTGTTTAATAGAAGTGTGTTACTTCTTAATGAAATTATGTGTATTTGGGACAGAAATAGTGTTAGAGTGAATCAATAAATGAATTAGTGTAATAAAGCTTAAGATACTGAAAAAATGCCAAGATACCACAAAGTACCTTGATAATTTTGATAATGAAAACACATTAACAATAAAATACATAATAGAGTAAGGTTATGACGATTAAATAATAGTAAGTAAATAAAAATATGTAACATCGTGTGTCCCGTCATTTCATATTCCAGGGTCGTGGGTCGGAAATCGATTGCATAAAGGCTTTAGGCCTTAAGGAGGTAATGTTTAGACATTTTGGAAGGAGACAATGATGGTTATGATATCTAAATTTTTGAGTTGTGTTTTGAGCCGAAGTGTTGAACGGGAAAAGTCATATGTAATATTATAGAGCTCTTCAATACCTTTCCATGGATATAAAGAACGTCGAAAATGGAGTTAAAACGAAGAAGAGACGACCGTTTGAAGTTAGGAAGATTTTTTGGGTTGAGGCGGTAGGATTTTTTGGGTTAGGCGTACTAGGGCATGCCTAATACGATGGGCGTAAATTGAGTACGTTGGGCGTACGCGATTAGTGCCCAAACCCTATTTCCGTGGGTTGAACCCTATTTAAGCTCCTTAACTTCCTAAACACACTCCATTCTTAGCCTCCACCTCTCCAACACCCTCTCTTGAAACCCTAACCCTATTTTGAGCCTTTTGAGCAAAAAGAAGGTGTTTTTATATGCTTTGGAGTGTTCTTGGTGCACCTTGGAGAAGAAGGAACTCATTGAAGAACCGTTGGTTGCATTGAAGCTTGTAAATCCAGACCTTGTTCACCCTGATCTTTCTTATGGATCTATAAAGTTTGAATATTTATGATGAAATTGTTAGATCTAGCTAGTTTTGGGTGTTATGAGGTTTTGGTCACTTTAAGCGCATAAAGTTTAGATCTTGGAAGTTTGTGACCTTGTTATGGATAAAGTGATGGGTTGTGAGCATAACATCATTCCTATGGTGTTCATACAACCCTAATTGCTTTGATCTATGTTTTTCTAATTTGAACATACAACATTGAATACCAGAGCAATAAACCCTATAAAATAGCAAATAATTCGAAATTGACATATGATTAGGGTTAGAAACATTACATTGATTGTTATGTAGCAATAACAATCCTAATCCTTCTTGATCTTGACTTCTAAAAGCCTAGTACCTCAAATGTTGCACCTCTAATGGAGTCATAAACACCACTAGCAACAAGGAAGAACAGTAGAGAGAGAGAGAGAGGCTCAAAATTGGCTATGAAATCCTTCTAGGGTTTCTTGTGGCCGATTTTGGCATGCCTAAGGGTTCATTATATAGCTGAGCAATTAGGGTTTCATTCAAAATCCTAATCCAATTGCCAAGTCCTTAAGCAACCCAAATGATCCTTCCAGAAGGCCCCCTGGACGATTTCTATATGGGCTCCCATATAGAATTTGTCAATTGCTTCCTTATGGATCCTAAGCCCAACTTTGTAACTATCTTATAATTACAATATTAGTCCCCTTGATTTAATTAATCTTTTTTGACCACAAAACTAATTCTAAATTAATTGTTGATCAATACTAATTAAACCATATGATTTCTCTTTTAATATATTATTCATATAATATATTAATAAATCACAATGAATCCTCTTTCTCCATAATTCATCCTATCAATTGCTAAGGTGAAGGATAAAGTTGGGAACGTTCTAATGGATAAAGTTGGAAACTTTATTCATTATAGAGTGATGAGGAACCATAAAAATGTGATCTTGGTCATTATATCCCTTCCATGCAAGAGTTGTGATGTCTTAATGGATTAATAAGTTAGGGTTTTAGCTTTTGGACCATCTGTAGCCATGGAAAGTCATAAAGGTGGAAACTTTATGACTTAAGACAATGTTTTGAGGCTAGATCTGAGTTTGGGTGAAACGTCATTAAAGGATTAAGTGCTTAATGAAAAGGATGGAATTAGCCCGAGTATGCTGGGCGTAATTTTCGTACGTTGGGTGTACTAATACATCCCATGTACACGGGGCGTAAGTTGAGTATGTAGGGCGTACTAAACCAGCCTTGGAATTTGACTTTTGTTGACTCCATTGACCATTAACTTTTTGACTAAGTTTGACTTTAGGTCAAAGTTGAGGATTTTGATTGGTGATTAAGATTTTATATGGTTCTGATGTTAGTGGATCCGCGTGAGCAAGCAGTGTATTAGGGAGCATATCACGGTGTTCTCAGGTTTCTTCGTTTTAGGTGAGTTTCACCTCATTGTATCGTCGGTCGAAGGCACCAATATCGGTCCACTAGTTTTGGTTATCTGTTAGTAGAGGGATGCCTTAGGGACTATATATATTTATGTAGAATATACTGAGGAATCTTAATTTAGGCTTTCTTTCCTGTTCCCTTTTTGGTTGTGGCTCTAGAGTAGGATCATATGTTTGGGTGTCTATCTCACCTCTGAGTATATACAGTTATGCATCCCTTAGATTGTTGGTATTTAGTGTGTTGCTATGCTGTAGTGACCTATTAAATATGTATCCTGGTAGTTAGTATGTTGTTATGCTGTAGTGGCCTATTAGATCTATATCATGGTAGTTGGTATGTTGATATGTTGTAGTGATCTGTTAGATCTGTATCCTGGTATTTAAGATGTTACTATACGGTAGTGATCTGTAGATCTGTATGTCTACCTGAACTTGTTGGTTACCATATAGTGGAGTGCCCTAGGGGCTGTATGTGGTCATGTAGGACAGTCTGAGAAATCTTGATCTAGGCGTTTTTGCAAGTTCCTTGTTTGGTTGTGGCTCTAGAGTATGATCATATGTTCGGGTGGCTATCTCACCTCTGGTTACTTATGGTTATGCATTTCATGGATGATAACTGGTAGTAGGATAGTGGGCGGCGTGAGGACTAGCAGGAAGTAGTGAGTTGCCTGCTATAGTGAGTTGTACAATTATTGTTTGCCTGTATTATATGCCTACTTGATCCTTGATTGTTTATATGTCGACATATGGTGGCAGTGGACTGAGGCATTCCTACTTTGTGTTGTAAGCCAAGATACCTGGTGCAAGCCGACTGTAAGCCGTAGGCACAGAGGCTCGGGAAGAGCGGTTATGTTGAGGCGGTAGGCCAACAAGCCCTAGGTATTCCATCCTAATGGCTGAGTGGACCCGATGCATGCTTGTATCTTTATCGTGGGGTATTTTGGGGGGATGTAACATCCCCATTTTCACGGCTAGAAAAGACCGATTTGTTTATGGTTGTTTGAAAATCAAAGTAATATTTTTCATAAAAGTGTTGCGGAATTTATTCCAAAAATAAAATATGATAAAGATTTATCAAAGCATTTCCGTAGAAATGTATTTCATTAAAAAGACTCGGGATGTCATGTTCGATACAGATCAAAAGCATAAACAGTACAATATAAGCCTTCCTACATTATTTCATATCTACAGGCCTATATCCGTAATCCCTCATCCAAAACATCACATCTATGCTCGAGCGTCACTACCTGTAATACATGAAACTGAGTGGGTCAGGCTTGGGAGCCTGGTGAGCACATAGGGTTTTCAACCCACAATAAATAAGTTTATTAATTTCATCAACCAATAATAACCCGATTACATGTTCCCATTATCCGCACATTACGTCCCTAAAACACATATCATAAGGGACCTAGACTAAGGATCAATCATCGGGATAGACACTAATGCTAAGGGGATTCCTCAGCAATAAATGTCCTTAAGGTAACCATGTGGGGGATGGAGTACACCGGTGAACACATCGTTCACAAACACCTACAGGTTGCGAGCGTGCTAAGCGTTCCACTGGACTGTCTAGAAGAGTCTGTGGCCATCATCCATACTCTGCTGGATGACAGAATCAACAACAACAACATCGAGGCCTCTCATCATTTTATCATACATCGTCTTAGTACATCTACCCATGTTTTACCCCAACATTTTTGTAGATATAAAATACATATACATTTTAAATCATTTAAAACACGTATAAAACCATTCATCCAACATAGACATCAAGTATTCAGATAATATTCACACTTAGCATGAAATTTATATATAATACTTCATATATATGTATAAGATGAAAGGGACCATGCACTCACCTGAGAAGGTGGTGACTCGGTACTCAGACAGCACTTCGTTATCTCAAAACAATTTTCCCTTGACAAAACCTAGTATCAATACCACTATGGTTTAGTCTAACGTTAATCATGACTAATTAATAGTCTAGCTATTATTGCTATTATATAAGCGTTAAACAATACTTATATAACCCATAATAATAGCTCAAGTACTTATTATAAGTTCCTAATAACGTTACTATAACTAAATAAAAGCTATATTAAAAATAGCATAAGCATAGCTCACTTACAGCGGGTTTTATGGAAAACCGGAATTCGCTTGGAGCAGCGTTTCTGAACCAAAACGCCTTTTTCTCGGGACTCCGGGAGCCTCGGGGCTTCCTTCGGGTGCTAGGAGGGGCTTCGCTGGTGGTGCATCGTGGCCATTTCTCGGACCGAAGAAGGCTTGGTGTACGCGCAACGTTCCCTTCGGATACAGGGCGCTCCTCGGACATTGGGCATTCCTTTGTACGTGAGGT